GGAAACATTATGTTGTGGATGGGCTCATGGCCTGGCTGTACATTACATTTCAGACATGATTAGCAGTCAACACCATAGTTAAATGATGATGATGATGGTGAAATGCCAGGTAGAAATGTGATCTGCATGGCATATGAAATGAGGTTTAACCTTTTCCTTCTTGCTGAGTCTTGGTAGAAAATTGCCCACACCTACGCAGCAATTAGCATTTGAGGAGGGGCGAGGCGAACGCTCAGAAATGAAAGAGAGAGTTTTTCACCCCTACTGAAATGACAGTACCTGTGGTGGTAGTATTTTACGCAGATGATGCCCAGAAAGGGAAGGCTTAAACTTCTCTACACACTACAATGTCAGGTGTTCAATAGTTAAAGGAAAGCCCTCAGAGATCTTTCTGGATTCCTTGCTAACAAAGTATACTTGTCCAATTTCCATACAGAGCTGGTGTAGCTCAGTGGGTTAGAGCATCTGGCTGTGGAGTCAAGGGCTGGGAGTTTGAATCCTTGCCATACCTCCAGTGAGAAGGCCCAACCACAACACCTCCTAGTCTGGGTGGTGTGGTCCACCACTTGTGTGACAATAGTTTTTGTTTTGTTTTCTTGTTTTCAGAGAAATAAGGCTGGTAAGGTAGAAAAGCATTACAGTATTTCCCAAAAACTACTGTCAGCTTTTGTATATTTGAGTTCATCTCTGTGCTATCACTTTTCAAAGAAATTTTGTATATTTCTGCTACATTCAAACAAATCTGGGGAATAAAACTTACAAGAAAATGGGGTGAGGCTATGCCGCATGCAACAATGCACCAGATTGAGTCTTGGTGATAAACAAGGTCTTCTTCCTCTTCTTCTCCATCAATTTTATTGTACTGCATCATCTGATCATTTTACTGCCAGCAATTAACAGCTTTAAAAGCTGATTCTGGTCTTCTGACTGAATACTAAACAGGACGAGTGAACAAGGGATTTAACATGAAAGCCTTGAAAGAGTTTAAGTTCATCACACTGGTTTCATCTTTTCTCTTTAGAACTGGCAGAAAGCTATTGGAGGCAGGGTAGCTGCAATTTACAATGCAAAGGCTGGCAGAAATGCTGACAACATGGATAGGAGTATCCCAAAATCCGTTTGTAGTCAGTCACCAATTGTATACCAATTACTGTACTGTTGTTCATCAGATTCCTTGTTAGAGAGTCAGCACTGCCTCTCCACTGCAGGCTGACTAGAGTATCACATTAAATGACTGTGTGTCACAGCACTAAGGTTTCTCAGAACTGTTAGTAGCAAAGATGGCCTAAATCTGAGAGACCTATGTATGCACAAGAGAAAATTCTCACTGCTAACTGCACCTGAATTCTCTTTACAGACTAGAATAAATGGGTAGAAATGGCAGGGGGGCATGTTTTGCTTGGGCCGGAGGGTGGTAAATAATTGTTGCCTTGATTTTGGGTGGGAAAGAACATCTTACCAATATACTGTACCAGAAAAATTCAGGAAAATCCTCTGCATTTCCCTCTAGTGGTCAGCTCTGATATTGCACCTTGAAAATACTAAATACAGTATAGAACATAACAATCAAATACTTTTTATGTTCTGCATTTAGTGTGGGTAGATGATCTGCTAAAGATTTCTCAGGCTTTGAAAGAGTAATTGTAGTGTGACACTGAGACACGATGTGTTTTTGGATGCAGCATGTGCTGGATGGAGTGACATTCCCCCTGAAATCCCAAGTGCACAACTGGGAGGGGGGAGGGAGTGCTCCTGGATTTGTCTCTGAGTCTGGATGTCCAGGTTTTGGCTGTCACCCAGAGTGCATTTGCACAGTTAAGAGTAAAGTGAAACAAACAAACAAACCAACAACAACACCAAAGCGTATTGCTTATATACTGCCCCAAAGAGCTTAAAGCACTGTCTGAGCGGTTTGAAAGTTAATTATGCAGGCTACACGTGCCCCTCCCCCAGCCAGCTGGGTACTCATTTTACCAGAAAAAGCTTAAAGCACTGTCTGAGTGGTTTGAAAGTTAATTATGCAGGCTACACCTGCGGTACTCATTTTACCAACCTCGGAAGGATAGAAGGCTGAGTCAATCTTGAGCCGGCTACCTGGGATTGAACCCTAGGTTGTGAGCACAGTTTTGGCTGCAGTAGAACATTTAACCACTGCGTCATGTAGTTCCCTAAACTAGTATGCCAGCTGGCCCATTTGTGGAGAGGTCTGATTTGATCGTGGTGACACATGCCTTCGTTACATAGGAGCTGCCTACGGAAAGTGTCAGGAAACTTCAGTGGGTACAAAATGCAACAGCCGGACTGCTAACTGGGGCTAGACACAGGGATCACACAAACCCTGTTACAGCAGCCCTCCTGGCTACAGATCCATCTCCAGGCAGAATTCAAAGTTATACTTCTAACCTATAAAGCCCTATAAAGCCTGAAGCAGAACCACATCTTCATTTTTGAGCATGTTCGAGTGATAAGATTGTCAGGGGAGGCCTTTCTCTCAGTCCCACCCGCTATCTCACAACCGCATCTTCATTTTTGAGCATGCTCGAGTGATGAGATTGTCAGGGGAGGCCTTTCTTCTCAGTCCCACCACCTTCACAGGTGCTCTTGGTGGGGACACAGGAGTGGACCTTCTCTGTGGCTGCTCCCAGGCTCTGGAACTCCCTCCCATGAGAAGCCTGGCTGGCCCCATCTTTGCTGTTCTTCTGCAAGTGGGTGAAGACCTTTCCCTTTTGAAGCAAAGCACATACATACACTCTGCTAGCAGAAAAAGACTATATAAAATAATTAAAAAAAAAACCACCCCCTTCCACACACAAACAACCTGCCCAATGCTACATTTGCTGGTTCGTGTGAGAAGGCAACACATACTGCATCTTCCAGTAATCTGCATTTTGTAGAAATGTACAAATAACAGTCATGAAAATGCACAAAATATTTCCCAGTCTGGCCCACGTGTGTCCCCCCCACCCCTAGAATGGAGTGTCTGCACTTGACCATGTACATATACAGAGTGATAATTTTTTATTTTCTCTCATTTACTGCACACATGAAAGGGTGAATCAGGTCAGTATTGTTAGCATGTCTGACAGTCTTACTGTGCTCAAAACAATTTCAATCTCTGTGGTCAGAAAAATTAAATCAGTGAAGGATCATGTACAGATACTGACAAGTGTTCTGTCATCTTGTGTGTATGGAACTGTCATGTTCTCCCTAAAAACATGAAGGATCAGCACAGCATAGAAATATTAAGGGCATTGTAAGATATTTTATAGGCATTTATGGAGGTTTTGTGCCATTCTTTTACAAATGCCAAAGGCAAAATAATTCAAACTTTATGTTTTATATTTAGAATGTTCAAGGGGCAATATCAGAGATGGCCACTAGAGGGAAACAGAGAAGATTTTCCAGATTTTTCCAGTTTGTTGGTAAGATCTGAAATGGAACATACTAATAACATACAAATATTTGCATAATGGGAGGAACAATAATATTAAAGTCAACTTAGCTGTAAAAAGTAATAGAGTTGAAGCTCTGATCTAAATTTTATTTCCTGTTTTGCTAACATACAGTGGACCCTCGACTTACAGACGGCTCGACTTACAGACTTTTCGACTTGCAGCCACCATTCCAATACGGATTAATTCCTTAAGTAGAGGGTCCACTGTAAAGACTACTACCTTGTTCCATGTATGTCTGCTCTAAGTTCAAAGACAACAAAAAGACCTGTGAGGGGTTTTGTCTGCATAGAGAGGAGAATCTGTATGATGATACCTTGACCCTTTTGGTCAAGCTGAATGTGTAAATGCTATCTTTCAATACAAAAAAGATTTCAAAGGAGTGACCATCACATCTGATACCCCTCCTTTTCTTGACATGTGCTCCTGCCTCTACCTTTTAATTCTACCAGGCATTGTTATTCCAAATTTGCTTCTTTTCCAAGCAGGTAGAGGTTAATATGCATAAGAAGAGATGCTCTACTCTTCATTAGGGTAGCAAGGCAGGATTAAAATAAAATAAAATAGTGTGTTTTGAGTTTTCTGTTGGCGCTAGATATGAATTATATTTTTAAGACACTCTGTGAATTATATTTTACAACCACCTGATGATTTCCTGCTGACTCGAGAACTCGGATGAGGACATGGAACTCCCCTCTTTTTCAATGGATGGTCCACTAACGTCAGGTAGAGTGCACTGAGCCAACATACCCCCTGAAACATATAGAGAAGTATGTTTGTGTGGAGGTTTGTCATATGCCATGTATTGCATGCATCATCTTTAGGCCAGTGGAAGCTGGCATGCTGTGATACAAAAAGGCTTCTAGCCCTTGTGATTGTCAAGCACAGCTTGGGGAAAAATTAAGTAGTTCCCTCCCAAATTTCAGGAGACAAAGCCCACTGATTCACAGTGTGAATGAATGCAAAGATAGTAGACTGCTTCTTTAGTCAATCACGTGCCAAGAGCAAAGAAGAGTGAAGCTTAGAAAAGGAGCCATGTTAAACACACGGTACACAAGGAAGCCATGACCACCTCCTCCACCTCCACATTTTTAAAACAAGCAAATACAAGCATTTTGATCAGATTCAGTGCATAAGGGCAGGAAGGTCAAAACCTTCCCCCCAGTAGCATCCCCCTTGGAGCTTAAAGTGGGCAATCTCCATTGTTGCTATTGATTACTGAGCACCTGGTATAGAGTTGAGAATAGTTTAGTCTCTCTCTCTCTCTCTCTCTCTCTCTCTCTCTCTCTCTCTCTCTCTCTCTCTCTCTCTCTCTCTCTCTCTCTCTCTCTCTCTCTCTCTCTCTCTCTCTCTCTCTCTCTCTCTCTCTCTCTCTCTCTCTCTCTCTCTCTCTCTCTCTCTCTCTCTCTCTCTCTCTCTCTCTCTCTCTCTCTCTCTCTCTCTCTCTCTCTCTCACACACACACACACACACACACACACCCATGGGTGCAAAAAATGCAAAGAACACAAGTTAAAAGTTAGAGCAATTTACTTTGTTATAAAAATGCTAAAAGAACATGGTTTCTTTTAAAATACTAGTTACAAATTATTGAGGCATTATAACCTGAGTCTACATTCTCTATTTACAAATCTCTGTGGAATGAAAATTATTTTATGTCTTAAAGCAGAAAGGGAAACAAAGCAGTGTTGGGACATCTTGTTGTTTTTAAATGGGCAGCATAATCTGCTTTAACACGTACCTACCAAGCATCACAGCATGGCAATTAAAAAAAAAAAAGAACTGATAGCAGCTTATCTGACCAGGAAAGTGATTCTGGGATAAAGCAGCAGCACGATGGACAGAGCGACCTACTTCTGAGAATCCATTAATTAGTAAGTGAAGAAAGAGGAACATCTCCAGGTTGCTCCACTGCTATCTGATGTGTGTGTGTATGCTTGCGTAATGATTGTAACTATGCCCATTAGTAAGATAAAAGAGTTGATCTAATTACTCAGTTCATGCATGAACTAGAAAGACTATGAAACTGAAGATTTTGGGACTTGGAACATGTAATAACTGTACTGCTACTCAGAAGATCAACCATTAATTTAATATCATAAGTACATGATGGAGATGGTGTCTGACTTACCAAGGAGAACGGCAGGCTCAACTGGATTACATATATGCTACAGATTTTAAGTCTGTTTAGTTATCATGTTTTCTCCATGGACTGTGAAAACTGCTTTTATCCAAGAGGGCTGAGAATTCTCTATGAAAGATGCCTATCACAGATTTAGGGTCTCTGAAGGGGGGAAAACCATGGTCAGCAAAGTATTTTTTTTAAATGTTCCAGACCTACATTTAGGTCTGTCTTGCTCCCAAGAATACGTCTTGACTTCAAGGCTACTCCGTCTTACTCAGAAATATTCTGCCCCATCTTCTGCCAAGCAGCTTGTCAAGATGCTAGATAGGGTGGGCATGGAGGAATGAAATGCGCAAGGAAATCTGTGCAATGATTCTGCTATCCTTTGGAATTTCTGTCACTGGAGGACAGGTTTGGCTCATGCTAAAATGTTGTCCCAGTTGCAGTGGTGTACCTTTGTCAACATGGAAGCCATTCGTTTGTATGGGGGAATCATATAGAGGGGTGCATATGAGACAGGCACTACGTCTATATGAGCCCCCATACAAATGAATGGCACAACTACCGAGAATCATTCCTATCGCCATGGCGCCATTCTGGGTTTTTGTTTCAAGGCCCTGTGGTCAGCCTTCACCAAACATATTCCTTCAGACATCTTCATTTTTTACTCTCGTCAGCTGCAGACTGCATGACCAATCATTACCTCGAATCATAGAGCTGGAAGGGGCCCATAAGGCCATTGAGTCTAACCCCCTGCTCAATGCAGGAATCTAAATCAAAACAGATCTGACAGATGGTTACCCAATTTTCTATTAAATGCGTCCAGCTTTGGAGTCCTCACCACCTCCCAAGGTAATTGGTTCCATTGTTGTGCTGCTCCAACAGTTACGTTTTTCCTGAACTGTACAGAAACTGTACTCTAAAATGCCCAGAGTGATCCTGGCTGGGGAAGGCTGCTCAAATGCATGAACAAGATTTTGGGCACTGGTTTTTATAGATATAAGTCACAGAAATATGTATGACCAGAGCTTGGAAAAGTCATTAGTTGGACTACAACTCCCAGAAACCTTGCAGCCAGTATGCCCATGCCCCTACTCACTGGGCAATTCTAGGAGTGGTGGATGAAAAAGGTACTGTTTTTGATTTCTGCAAATGTCCAATAAGTTTCAGGAGGAAAATCAAGTTTGGACAGTTCTTTTAAAAATAAAAGAGCAGATGAATTTGCAGTACTAGTGGCTTAACACATGTTAACATCAACGTTTGGTCCATGCAGAGAGGTTTACCCAGATATGGATACAGATGAAGGGTGGTTATTTAGTCCATCAGCCCTGTCCCGTACAACCAACAGCACAGTTTCCCACTGCTTCAAACAGATCTAAATCATTAATACTAGGCTACTGGGAGTGGATCATCTTTTGATAACTGTCTGGAAACAAAAGCGCACCAGTGGCTATTCTCAGCTTTTAGGATCCGGAAGCTCTCTGAAGCCATCATCCTCTGTTTCTTCCGAGCAGGGCAAGGCAAGAACACTGGTGACAGGGTGGACCCAGGATGTTGTCTGTGTCACGTGGCTGGAGAAGAACAGAAACACAATTAAACTGACTGGCCCACCCAAAGCATTGTTCTTTAAATGCTCATAACTTGGTCAGAAACAAGAAACAAGTTGTTCCTCTCTCATGGCAGAAAGAGTCATACTCCCTAGTCTTGCTCTATCGGGCAAAGCCTTGCTCAAATTGCCCTGCCTTTAAAACTAAAAGAGGGTCAGGATGTGTAATCTGTCAAATTCTGGTTTTGTTTTAATTGAAACATTCCTGGAATCGTGTGATATTAGTTTAAGACTGGCAAGTTTTTCCCCTTTCAAGTCCCAGTCACATCACATTCCTAGATTCTATCCCTGCCAACAAAGGTGGATTCTAGGTAGCTAATTTTTCCACAATATTCACAGCAAAGGAAGGAAAGATGAAAAGTGTTGATGAACACACACAACAGCTACAGTAGCCAACATTTCCACCCATGTGTTTTATTTACATGCCCAGATATGTTCCTTTTCCTTTCAAATGTAAGGGACTTTGACACTGGGGAAAGTAGTAGAGATACAGTACTCTTGTCATGTAAACAGTGGGTCCCAATTTGGAGTGTAAAAAGAGAGGAAAACAGCAACTGGTCCAGTTAACATGTGAAGACACTGACTGAGACAAATCCGTTTTCTCAAAACGTCTTGGCTGCTCTTAGGTCGGATCACTATATCTTAATCCGATTGCGTGGTTTAGGAATAATTAAGGAGAGACAGCTCCTCTGCCCTGCTAACTCAAGCAGAATATTGTATAAGCAAATAGCGGTCTCCTTCAATGTGTGTCAATCTTTCTGTAGCCAAAATGGTTCCACCCACATGTAAAAGAGGCAACAGCAGACAATCTCAGGCTTTGAAGGTCTTTACAATGAAATCTTTAGGGAAAAGAAGACATTTCAAGACAACCAAATGACTAGGGAGCATGTTTTATGAACACAGAATGATGAGTGCCCATGGAAGAAAAGTGGTGGAGGGCTAGAATGGAGCCTCCTAAGAGAAGAAGCAGAAGGCTGGCGGAACAGGGATCCCAAACAAGAGCACTCCACACAGGATGCGGTTGGTTGTAGGTCCCACGTGTATTGCATTAAAAGGAACATTTCTTCAGGCCTCTTTGACCTCAAATTCAGGTAAGCAAACAGAGGGATCTAAATTCAAACTCTGTTTCATAGCAGTGAGTTCCACACAGCTTATTCCCAAATAGGTGTACACAGGGTTCCAGCCCGTGATTTTCAACAAGTTGACTTAATTTACGAGAAAACCAAGAGCCACAAAATGCGTCATAACCAACACAGTCTATGCAATTGTTAAAATAAGAATTAATGGTCATGGTTGTATTGCTGTAGCATACATGCTATAAGCCTGAAGTGTGTACAGTATATGACCTTAACATTCAAAGTGGGGTGGGGGAAGGACACTCTGAAGTAGCTTATCTGGCTTTAAGTGTAACTGCTCAGGATGCATAGACTGATAACAAAAACTAATTTTAAAGAGACCCTGTCCAAAACTACCAATATTTATTTGGAAGCTAAATTTATTGATTCCAATTGTACATTCAACAGTAACTGCAAACACTCAGTGGACATTGGTTCTGCACAAATACGCAACCAGAAATAAGAACTTGACAGCACCAACACAAGGGGAAAAAAAGCTGGAGAAAACTGGGGGCTGAAAAGGCCATTTATGGCAAGCCCAGTGTGTGCAACAGAGATTACTGAGAACCTGAGATTTATAATGAGCACTGGGAATATACAGGGCATGAGGAATAATAAACCCAGCTATGGGCTATGTTCATTCCTATGTGCAGAGCACAACTCTTTTCAGTTTCAGATAAAAGTGGCATGTGCTGATCATGACAAGGGGCTAAATCTACAGTCCCAAATTGAGAGCAACACTAAATGAATCTATTGGAGGAAATGTTGACTTAACAAGTCCCTTTCATTCCATGAGACTTAGCCTTAGCTTTGTGTTTCAGTACGTCTGCCTCAATTCCACATACGAGTGTTGAAGTTGAGGGAAGCAACTGCTTGCTGACCCCTCAGAAGAATCTCTTTGCCACTTTCCCCTTTGCCTAACTGAGAAATGGGAAGAGTGAGACTGAGGGGAACACAGAGGCAACAGAACCACAAGAAAGAAGGCGGGTCCAAAAGCAAGCTGTTCTCCCATTACATTGGTTGTCCACAGTACCAGGAGTTTGGAAAGATACCTTCTAGGAAAAGTTCCATTTTCTCTGGACAGTTTCTCCTCACGAAGGAGGCTCGCTGAGGGCTGTATTTACACATAAGCTAAGTAAGTTACAGTCTCTGTCCTCAACATATAAAAAGTATCTAAATGCAATATTTTAAAAATAAATATCCCAACAAAGATCAAGGAGATAATAAAAGATGACACAGCCTTTAGCTGGAAAATTAATACTTTTAAAGTTCAAGTACACCAGCTTTGGTAGCTAATTTACTTAAACAAATGTTACTTAAACAGAAAAAAAATCCACCGGACGCTACCTCCAAGATAATGTGTGGATATTTTATCAGAGTGTAGTCCATGACATCTCCCCATCCTCCTGCTCTGCGTGTGTTTAGCAGAACTAGAATAAGTCGTCCCACGGCATAAAGTATTACTCAGCAACATGGCACAGGCCAGGAGTTGGATACTTGTGTTCTTCCAGATATTGTTGGACTGCATCTCCCATAAGCCCTAACCATCACAGCCAATAAATGGGGGCAATGGGGCTTGTAGTCTGACAATACACGAGGGAAAACACATTATCCACACATTTGTGTAGATTTTCTTCAGGCAAAAAAATCATCTGAGTACAGCTGAGGATTACTAGCCTTTATCCCATGGAAATGCCTCGTGGTGGGCTGTGAATAAGCCGAGCAAGAGCTCAAAAATCTCCTTGCAAAATTGCCATGTAGTCAATTCAGGAAGAAAACAATGCACATGGTGGGGCTGCATGAAGACAGAGGAAGGGCAAAGCAAGCCAGGGCTAATTGCAGGCAAAGAGAAGACCCAGCACCCTCTTTGTCCCACGGGTTTCACGCAGAGTCCACTGAAATGGATGGAAAGGCTGTTCCATTCTCTGCACAGCCATCTGTCCTGCCGGCAAATCTTTTGAATAGCTGAAGGCTAGCTTTTGCGTCATCGGACGACAGCCCTGACTTATCAAGGGAGAGATTGTTCTGTTCTGAGGGGGATGAATGGATTGTGACGTATTGCCCATCTATTCCTGCCCTTTGCTTGGTTGTACCAAGCTCATGTTAAAATGAGCATGAGAATTGGTGGGTGGGTTAGGGTTACACTACTATAATTGACCCCAAATATCAGAGGGGTTGCCTTACTATAACTGATCACAGTATATAAACCTGGAGCCAGGAACTCCTTTAAATCTCAAACCTGAGCTGCTTTAATTAGATTAATCCATCTCTTGAGCAGAGAGTCCAAAAATATATCTGCTCCATTCGCGACTGAAGTTTCTGCTAGGATTGCTAGTTGAATGGAGACGGGAGAAGACCATCAAGACGTGGCTGATGGAGGGCTTCCCTTCGACTGGCTTTAATGCCTGCAGATCTAGCCAGAGAGTTCAAAATGATTTTTATGGCCTATTCAAAGGCTATGCTAAACAATAAAGGCAATTATGATGGCTAATTGTACCTTTATTTATTTGTTGATCAATTGCAGTACTACTAATTTCAATTTCTGTTTCAGTTCTCTCTCAGCTGAGAGCTCAAAGTGCATTCTGTCTGATAAACAAATTTAATAGACACAATGAAGCATCACTGACTAAATTATCTGTAAAGCATCTTAAAATAATTAAATACTCAACAGAAATGAGAAATTAAATGAGTATTTAATGCCCCTCATGGCTCATTTTGATTTCGTTTACCCATCAAGAAGGCTGAAAATTACAGAATGCATTTGTACTTAAAAGCAGACAATATTAAGTGGGCCCAGCCATGGTTGCTTGGTTACTTGGTCAAAGTAAAAATATCAAGGTGAAAAGGGGAATTTCTGTAAATTGGGAAAGGGACAATTTTGACTGAGGCCTTGAGTAAAGTGCAAACAAACTAGGAGGTTGACGACATGGGCATTTAGTCTGCTGTGTGGAGAACTGCAGGGATGGGCTGGTGGGCTCTTAAAGACGAGGATCAGACGACACCTTTGCTAGAGGGCACGGACTTGCTCCCCAGAGTGTTTCTACTCCCACCTTTCTGACCCCTGTCAAGGGGCTCCTCCTTTTTTGTGCAGGAAAGATCCCTTTTCTTTGGTTTGTCTCCAGGGTGTGTGATTGCTGGGAACAGACCATAGAAAAGCTTCCTCTTTCAATATGCTGATATTGTGAAGTGGCTTAATAAGGGAAACACTTCAAGATATTGGCAAATTAATCATTTATCCTGTTAAGTAGAGGGCAGGGGAAGCAAAAAGAACAAATATATATTTTTTGTTCTGACTGTATACAGACAATCACCGATTCACTGCAGCAGTTATAATTCCCCCACCCCTTGCTTTCTCTAAAAAGAAAATGGTAAAGAAACTGCCTGCAATTAAAGTCACTGCCATTGATTCAACTGTGGACTGTTTCTTAACTGGTGCTTTTAAGATGAGGCAGTATTGCAAAGCAAAATTGGTGGGAAAGTGATATGTGAAGGGAGGAATCTGGTTTTGTTTGTTTAGGAAAAAGAGAAGCCAGGGTGAGAATAGAGCAGGGGTCTCCAAACTTTTGACCCTGAGGGCCACAACAGATACTTTAAAGATCTTAGAGGGCCGAAGGAGCCACATATGCCTGTGTGCATGTACGCACATATGCATGCACCCTAAGCCTGCGCACACGCATGCACACGTGTGCAGATGCAGACACACATACACACCTCGCCCATGCACACAGGACCCCGCCTCACCACCACACACGTGCATAAACATGGGGTTAAGGGAACGGACCAGAGAAAACAGCAAGGTGGGCCAGATGTGGCTCATGGGCTGTAGTTTGGAGACCCCTGGGATAGAGGG